ATTGTTGTTGTAATTATGCTGTTTTATGTTATTGTATTTTATCTCTGTTGTTGGCCGCCTAGAGTAGTTCACCGCGACTAGATAGGCGGGATTTAAATTAAATAAATAAATAAATAAAATAAATAAATAAAACTGAATTGATCCTTACTATGTGACCGTTGATTAGCTCATCACCCTTGGAATCTCTTTTCAAGGCTTAAAAGGGCTAGTTTTACAGAGCTCATCACCCTTGGAATCTCTTTTCAAGGCTTAAAAGGGCTATACAAGTTTTACAGGCCTTCAGTTGTTGTTGAAATGATAGATGAATCATGTGAGAGTTGAATTCATACTTATCTTCAGTTACATGTTGAAGAGTGCAATCGTGTTGAAATGATAGATGAATCATGTGAGAGTTGAATTCAGTTACATGTTGAAGAGTGCAATCACAACACTGATGGAACTCTTTCATGGCTTTGTGCAAGACAAATAAGCAAACTGTTCAGTTACAAAGAGTAAACCAAAATGCTTTGAAGAGCTTATGGATTGTTACTGAGTTGTTTGCTTGATCTATACATTGCTATACTAGTTTAGCACTAGATCACCTCTGCAAGAGAAATAAAAATCAATATGAAATAGAAACAACCCATACTGTGTTTCTGTGGTATGTTGGTATGTGTTTCTACAGTATGGAAAACCATGGAAAGCTTTTCCTTTTCTCTAGCACCATGCAACACTTTAAATAGCCCCGCCAGCTTTACAGTGAACCCTAAAAGGATTGCTGGGAATCGGCAGAGGGCTGCGTCAAAGGAGGGTGGGACTGTGGTGTAAATCAGGCCACATCGGATTGAGGAACCAGTGTCAACGCTGGCCTTGAAATAATCCACAGTCTCTATGTGATAATCTATTCTGAAAATAATCTTAAAATTAGCTGCAAATCAAGCTGCACTGGCCTGCCAGTGTGGTTGCAGTTAGAGAGGGGAATGGCTTTTCTGTCTTTCATGATGCTGTCTTGTCTTCTCTCCTGCTCTTTTTTTTTTTTTTGACAGGAAGTAGGCCTGATAAGTTTTAATTTCTAAAATTAGAAGTGCTGGGGCTAAAGTCTGGGTGACCACCTGCTTTATTCTTAGATGCATGGAATAGAGTTAGTGAATGATTAGGGAAGGCACTCTGCACATGCCCCAAAGCACTGTATACTACTTAATCTGTTTGAGCATGGATCTAAGGAGATCTCTAAATCAGATTAAGCCACGTGTTCTAGACATTCTTCTGTGGTTAAAAAAACACTCAAGCTCTGTTATTAAGCACTGCGTGTGAGACATCTAAATAAGTCAGATACATGGAACCTCAGTTCTCCCTGCCCATCCCTCATTAACCTATTGGAGCTTGTGTTGCTACAACATACATACAACCTACAGTTCTCTCCTTCTGGTGCAGCAACAGCTCCTCTGCTGTTCAGATCTCATATCTTACCTAAATATATTTTCAGAGTGGAATAAACGGGCCCCACTTTGCCTGTCCCATCAATGTTCTAAACTAGACAGATAGCTAAACGGAAGCCCCTGAAATAGCAGCTATAATCCTGAGATCCCTGATTTTGGCAGAGTCACACAGTATTAATGATGATGATGATGATTAAAAATACCAGACACAGTCAAAATTATAAAAACAATGACTGATATTATATAACACAAGGGTTCCCAACCTTTTTCACCCCGCGGACTGGCTGGGGAAGATGGGGCACTCCCCGCGCTTGTGCGCATGCACGAAGAGCTCTCTCGAGTGTGCTTGCGCAAAACAGCAGCACTTTTCTGCACACACATGCTCGTGCGCATGTGCAAACGGTGGTGCAGCGCATGTGCAGGCATGCTTGTGCACATGTGCAAACGGTAGAACGGTGCTCACATGGGCACGCTGGAGCGCAGGCGCAAACAGGCTGTGTGTGGGTGAGTGTGTGTAGGGGGGGTCTGTCTTCGTGGCCCAGTCTGGCTCAGGCCACGGACCAGGGGTTGGGGACCTCTGATATAATAGATAACAGATACAAGTTTTAACCAAAAATCTCTGTTAAATACCTGCATAGTATATATACTGTTCCTAATACAGTGGTGCCTCGCTTAATGGGCACCTCGTTTAACGACGAATCCACATAGCGACGAATTTTTTGTGATCGTTTTTGCGATCGCATTGCAATGGTTTATATAGGAAAATATCGCTTTGCCATGATCGGCACCCTGTTTCGCATACCGATCATTGCATAGCGCTGATTTTCCAACAGCTGATCGACAGTTCCAAAATGGCCGCCGGGTAAATAAAATGGCCGCCCGCTGTGTTTTTGCCCAGATTCCTCGCTTACCAGGCAGCGAAAATGGCCGCCATATGGAGGATTTTCGCTTAAAGGTGAGTTTTTTGCCCATAGGAACGCATTAAACAGGTTTTAATGCATTCCTATGGGCTTTTTATTTCTGCATAGCGACGAAATCGCTTAGCAGCAATTTTTTCCTGCACGGATTATCGTCGCTATGCAGGGCACCACTGTATTGCCTTTTTTTTTTTTTGTAGCTTTGCTAATGTTATTTCTGAAATCTGCAACTTCTTATAATATTGTGTTAAATTTCTTGATATTGTTTCCAAAGCCCCAGTGTTAATAGGGACTACTGATGTATGTTTCATGTACAAGCTAGATATTTCATTTCCCAGGTCTCTGTATTTTGTTAGTTTTTCCAATTCTTTATCTTCAACTCTTGCAATGTCAATTATCCTGTTGTTGTTGTTGTTGTTGTTGTTGTTGTTGTTGTTGTTGTTGTTGTTGTTGTTTGGTTAGTTTGTTTGTAGGGTGCCTTTCTCCCAATAAGGGGACCCAAGGCAGTTAACAATATTTAAAGAATAGAATTAAAAACATAGTAAGTTAAATGTTAAAAAAACCATTAAACTGTGTGCTAATTAAAATTTGGTTAAATAATTCAGAGCAAGTAAACATTTAAAACTTAACTGTAAAATTCCTTTTATTTTATACTAAATATTATACTGTTACAAAGTAAGTCAGTTAATATATGTGTACTTTGCAAATGTTTTGAATCAGTATACTCCCAATATTTCAAATGACTAGAGATTAGCAAAATGGGATGAAGGCTTGCAAAACTGGCTTGCTTTCTTTTCACCTCTTGTTGAAAATGTACAAGTAGAGACTATTTGTCTTTGTCAGAAAACGAACATAGTTAGAAGCATATAAAAATAGGGAACAATTTTATTGTAAGTTTTTGAGCACTTAATACAGATACTGAAGGAAAATAATTAGGAAATTATTCGGAAGGTGATGTTCTGTTTTTGTAACCTCAGCATGGTCAAAAGTTTCTAGGCATGCCACTAACAAAGCCTGTTAGAAAGTTTAGTGAAAATCTGCAGTGTTTAATTGCTTGGTTAATTAAACCTAATGTTTTTTGTTAATGAAGAAGGTATAAAGAGCAGAGTGGCGGATTAAAAAAAATCTTGCAAATCAGTTAAAAAGTAAAAATAAAACTCAAATGCAAATGCTGGACCTTTCAGACAGGCACCAGAAAACAAAGTAGGTGTTCTAGTGTTCACCCATATGTGTGTAGATATTTTCGCTTAATGGTTTTCATTTAGTAAGATTCCTTCTGTGGGTTGACAGCTGTGGTTGTCTTTATTATTGCAGGAAGGCTTCCTGCACAGAATGGTGCAGGTCTTTTGTAGCAGTTGCAGCAGCTTGGAGGGGCTTGATTTTTTCGCCCTCCCTACCCACAGCTGTAGCAACGTACAGCTTGGCCTGCCGCAGATCATAATCTCAGGCAAGCAGTATCTGGGGCCATTTGCTGTACACTTGTCTCCCTCCAGAGAAAGTCGTGGCTTAAGATCTAGTCTCTGGAGTGGCTCCCACATGCAATGGACAGAGGGCTTCTGAATCCCAGGCTAGTAATGTAGAACAGAACTGGCTGTACCAGCAACTTTAGGTTGTCCAGTACCGTATTTTTCTGTGTATAAGACACTGCTTTTTCCTAAAATCGTTACACTAAAAATTGAGGGGCGTCTTTTACACGGAAGTAAGCTGAGAACAGGGAGAGAATAAAATGGCCCATACTTTGCCTCTGTAAACAGGCTTCCTTCAATCACGAGGCTTAGCTTCCTACAATCAGGAGACTTAGCTTCATCCAATCACAAGCCTTATGGAACTGATGTCAGCTGATCCGGAACAAACCAATTGGAACACACCTCGTTGGAGATGGAGCCAGTAGGCTCAGATGCAACAGGGACTCAAAATGTCCAACTGTTCTGAGCCCAGAGGCTGAATCCTCAAAGCTAGGTTTTCTTAATTTTGGGGTTAGAAAAAAAGGTGGGTGTTACTACACCATGCTGGGTCACGGGCAGATGCCTATCCATTTGAAAATGTTTATGTGTTGTGATATTTGAAGTTAGTGTCTTTTATTGAAGTACAGTAGTGGCCAATTAAAATATGTTGATTGGATCTCACTCTAATTGTTCTCACCCAATATATTTGTCTCATTCTTCTGTCACATTTAACAGGCTGCACCATTACCCATTTTCAATTTCCCCTGCTCATTCTTAAACAGAAAACAGAGTGAGCCAGTTGTTCTTCCAAAAAGTAGGTCTCCATCAAATGGAGCAATCAGGAGACTGTAACAGAGAAACAGAGGTGATGTACGTCCATTATGTGACCAGCGGATAGGATAATGGTTTAGGTAATTCATAGACCTTTTTGTGCTGGTTTATTAAAGATGACTTCATTTATGTCCCTTAGCAGGGAGAGGGTCTGACTTACTGTTCTGATTTGTGCTGTGAATCTCTCAGATTGTAAGATTAAAGATAAACATGTTTCGTTTCAGTTCAGCAAATGCCACCCCAGAATTTGAAGGCCGTGGTGGAGAAGAACTCGGCACTGAAATAGCCAATACCCTTTACAGAATATTTAACAACGAGAGCAGTATTGACTTGAAGTTGTTGTGTATTAGTCCCAGAGAGCACTGCTGGGTGCTTTACGTTGATGTCTTGGTAAGTAAGACAGACCAGAGGTTAATTTAAACCTGTGCTTCAGTCAACTTCTCAAAGCATTGGTAAGGTTAATATTTGTGGACTTCACTTAGAGCAAGGCTAGATAATCAAATTATCATCACACTCCTAAATATTAGTAGTGCTTTCTTTTATGCCATTTCTGCCACTGTAGCAAATTCATTGATGTCTCAGGGGGCCTTTTGGGTGACGGAGAAACAAAAATATCCAGGGGCAGGGGAATAGCTAGGAGAAACATGCAATTCATGAGCTGTGTGTCCCTTCTGTTTTATATTGTGAGCCTCTAGGCAAGAGACACAGAGAGAAAATATGCATTTCTCTGTCTGTGCCACCCATCCTCAACATCAGCCACCTGGCTTGGAGGGGAGAAGGGGCTTTAGAAGGGTTTTTTGTTGTGTTATCAATTGCCATCAAGTTACATCCATAGAGACCCACAGGGGATCTGAGGGAACAGGAAGGGGGGAGGACGTTGGAGGGGGCAGCCATTGAGGTGGTTCTGGGTAGGGGAAGGAATGGCAGTGGGGGTAGAACATGCCCACGTAGGAGAAGAGAGGTTAGATATCTTACATCTATCCCCCCTTCCAGTTCTACCCCCAACCAGATGGTATCAGGTGACCATATCAGCAAACCCTCAAGCCACACGATGCTGTTGATGAACACTAGGTCAGTACAAAATAAGACTGCCCTCATCCATGATGTAATTTTGGATGAGGGTGCTGACCTGGCATGCATTACTGAGACCTGGGTGGGAGAGGAGGGTGGTGTTCCCCTCTCTTAGCTGTGTTCGCCTGGGTACTTGGTCCAGCACCAGTGTCGCTCGGAGGGTCGGGGAGGGGAAGTTGCTATAGTCTATAGGAGTTCTATCTCCTTGACCAGGCTTCCTATCCCTTTGAGAGGAGGTCTTGAGGACCTGTATTGTGTGTTGGGCTTGCAAGACAGATTAGGGATTTTGTTGGTGTACTGCCCACCCTGCTGCGTACCAGTGGTCTCCCTGCCTGAGCTGACGAAGGTAGTCTCAGACCTGGTGTTGAGGACTCCGAGGCTGTTGGTGCTGGGGAACCTCAACGTCCATGCCGAGGCTGCCTTGACTGGGGCAGCTCAGGACTTTATGGCCACCATGACAACCATGGGGCTGTCTCAATGTGTCATTGGCCCAACACATGAGAAGGGCCATACCTTGGACCTGGTTTTCTCAACGAGACTGGAAGATGTTGGTTTGGATGTGGAGGGGCTGGTTGTGACCCCATTGTCATGGTCAGACCACTTCCTGGTCAAGTTTAGTCTATTAGCTTCTTCTCCCCTCTGCAAGGGTGGAGGATTATTAAGATGATCCACTCTCGGAGACTAATGGATCCGGATGGTTTCCTGAATGCTCTGGGGGATTATCCATCTGAGATGGTTGGCGCTCCTGTCAAAGCTCAGGTCACCCTATGGAATAGGGAGATGACCCGGGTGGTTGACACAATTGCACCTAAGCATCCTTTCCCTACACGCAGAGCCCAGACAGCTCCTTGGTATACTTCTGAACTGCGGGCATTGAAGCGAGAGGGGAGACGGCTGGAGCACAGGTGGAGGAAATCCCACTGGGAGTACGATTGAACATGACTTGGAGTCCATTATCGGGCCTATTTCGTGGCAATACAGCTGGCGAAACAGCAATATTTCTCCAGCTGTATTACTTCCTCAGAATGTTGTCCAGTAGATCTGTTTCGGGTGGTCTGGGATCTTCTTCAGCCGGGAAATCCGGTGGAGGTCCCGGACTGCTCATCAGCTCGCTGTGATGAGTTTGCCATTCATTCTGACGGAAAAATCGCTCAGATTCTCTGTGGGTTGGACTCCACCGTTACTGCAGAAGACGGTCTGGCAACTGCAACTGGTCCAGAATTGAGCTGCGGTGGCGCCGCTAGGGAACACATCAAGCCAATTCTGTTTAAATTACATTGACTACCAGTTGCTGCCCGGGCCCAATTCAAAGTGCTTGTTTTGACGTATAAGGTCCTAAACGGTTTGGGCCCTGGATACCTGAAGGACTGCCTCCTTCCATATGAACCTACTTGGCAGTTAAGATCTAGCCAGGGGGCTCTTTTGAAAGAGCCATCCCTCAAGGAGGTAAGAGGGATGGCTTGTAGAGAAAGGGCCTTTTCGGCAGCTGCCCCCAGACTATGGAACACCATCCCAATTGAGATTCATCTGGTGCCAACGCTGATGTCATTTTGGTGCCAGGTCAAAACCTTCCTTTTCCAGAAGGCTTTTAATTGAAATAATATCAACTGTGGGTCCTGATGGCAATTTTTAGAGTATATATTTTAGTTGTATTTTAATTGTCTGTTTTTTTACTGTATTTTAATTGTTGTAAGCTGCCCAGAGACCTTTGGGTAGTGTGGGCGGCATATAGGTTAGATAAATAAATAAATAAATAATGCCGTTTTAAATCAAGGAGACTTCACTTGTCCTTTTGTTGACTAGCTGAGCCTTGGACAGCAGGCTTTTGTTGTTCTCAGTACTAACTTAATTTTTAGATATGTTATATGATAATATCTTATGAACTTACTGACTTTATTCAGAATCACTTCCCACTAGATATGTCCTTCTGTTCTGTTTCTTGCATCACTGCAAGATATAAGACATTGTCTGCTCACTGCCTTCTTAAATAGCTTTCTGTCTTACATTGTCTTAAAACATTGCTAAAACTAGAGATACATAGGCCCAGTAAAAAAAAACAAAGAAACCAGAAACATTGGGAGTGGCTTTCAAGATAGTTTCTGGTTGGTTCCCCCCCCACCCTGAATTTTTCTGGGCATTCACATCTCTAGCTGAAACGATAAGAAACTGCATAGTGCCATGTAGCTTAAACATTTATATTATACCGCTTTATTTTTATTTTTTTGGTAGAAAATAGGGTGAGACCATATATTCATAGGTGCAGCCACAGATACACTTGTAGGATTGTTCATGTAAATCTCATTTCATTATTTGTCTATTCCTTTATTTATTTCAGTTACTGGAGTGTGGTGGCAACTTGTTTGATGCCATTTCTGTTGCAGTAAAAGCAGCATTGTTTAATACCAGGTAAAGCACATGTGTTCTCTTTTTATAGTGTTTACATGTAGACTGGAAAATGGGTTTGTTTTATAGCCATTGGGGATCCTGTGGCTGAGAGGGAGTGACATGCCCCACATTGCTTAGCAAATTAAGGAAAAGGAAAGAGATTTGAATTCTAGAGTTCCTGAAATCTAGCTGAGGCTGTAGTGCTATATACTGAATTAGGAGAAATTACTTTCTGGGTCAGCAGGTACAGGATTACTCTCCTCGTCTCTTACCCACACCATCTTTCCAGTAACATGTTTTCCTTTTTTCTTTTCATTTACCTGTCCAGTTTATCAATTTTTGTACATTCTAGACAGTCGTACATGGGTGATGATTCTAAATGGAGCAATTGTCTCTACCTAAAGACAGTACGTTTAAATTAGTGGATGTGGGGAGCTGTGTCTCTGCTTAGTGCTTCTGCTGTATTCAGAGATGGCGTAACTCCATCAGACTTTCTAACTTTGCCAGTCAAACTAGTTGAAAACATCTTGCTATGTGTTTTGTTTCTTCCTGTATTATATAAAACTTCCATAGCACTTTGGCACAGTTATGAAAGGCTGCACAGAACAGTTTTAGTCTGTTTATTTGAAAAGGCCTCAATTTTGGAATGAATCTGTATTATGCTGGGAATGTGCCCTTTCTTTTCTACAAATGGGGAAGCTGTTTTAAATTATTTGCTGATACAACTTCGTTTTTAAAAAGTTCAGAGAAGCAGAACTAAATTTTCCTCAAGGTTTTGAGAAAAGCTCTTTTGTTTCCATTTTACCTGGATCAAAAGTTGTATTTTCCCCAAACTGGTAGCCTTCCTAACGTTTTGGACTGTATTGTCTGTCAGTACTAACAAGCAGGGCCAGTGCTGCAGGAAAATGGGAGTTGTCATTGAAAGCATCTGGAGAGTACAGATCTTCTAAGTGTCTTGACAGGTCAAATACAGAGATTGTAGTTTGAGCACTTTTCTTAGAACATGTGCAGATCTTGCTCCTAATATAGATGTTTACTGATGGCTCTAAACAGCATCTGGTTCCCTGTGTAACTCATCTACCCAGCTATCAGCATTGTTTCAGTCCCAGAACCAAAACTAAATGCCAGATTGAAATGAATTCCAGGTAATTTGATTCATCTAGCAAAAGCTGGAATGGAGAGGCTATCACCTCCACAGAAACAATTGTATTTGTAAAGCCTCTGCAATAGATATGTCTTCAGATGGAATGCAACTGGACAATGGACTGGCTTCCAGGGTATAATCTGATGATGCTTGCAGGATTGCTGGGATGAACGATGGAGTATACTGTTCTGTGAGATTAATTTCTATGATGGCCTGTAGCATCCCCTCCACCCTGGTTCTTTCTGTGCCGTACAAATTGTAGGTGCTCCTGTTGATCATATTAAGCTTTGGGGGTATATCTTTTCATCATGTGACCAAGTAAGAGACATAATTGTACATTTCTTTAATTGTTTGGCGTACTGATTTCTAAGTGAGCTATTCTTTAAGAATATTTATGATTCTTCTAGCGAACTGCTACACTGCCCTTTGATATTTGCTTAGAAATTATAGCAAACCTGCATTCAAAATATACAGACACAACATATTACTTGTGGTTCATTTCTCTTTTGTTTAGGATACCCAAAGTGCATGTTTTGGAGGGTGAAGGAGGACGGGAAATTGAGCTGTCTGATGATCCTTATGACTGTATTCGACTTAATGTGGATAATGTCCCTTGCACTGTGACTTTAAGCAAGGTAAGCCTCTAAAAATCTGAACTTCTGTTTTGTGTGCTTGTTTCCATACAAAGTTTCAGAAGTTTATGCACTTGACTTTCAAGAATGGGAGAGATACCATCTTGTTTTGAGAGTGGTCTCTGTTTAGAACTATCAGTTTTTACTATATGTTTATTGAATGCATTTATCTGCTTCATTTTTAAAAAAGGCTCCCAGAGCACCTTATGGAATAAATAACAAGGATTTTGCTCTTCTGTAACTTTACAACAGAAAGGACCTTTACTTACCCAATGCTTTAGGAAGAGATTTCCCAAAGGAGCTATACAGAAAGCAATTGCTCAGAAGGGCTTTTGTTCCTCTCAATAGATCTTTTGGGGAATGAATCACCTAAGGATGCTGGAGCAACAAATTTCATCCAACTATAAGGACTCAATAGTGTTCTGTCTTTTCCTTCCTGTCAAGAAACGTTCCTTGTCTCCCTTTTCTTTAAATACTGAGTTTCTAAAAACAATTTATGATTTTTTTTGTGCTCATTAAACACTGTCCTGAAATCTGATATGATGAATGGCAATGTTGAGGTTTATTTATTTACAGCAGTGGTAAAGGGGCTTTTTATGTGGAGGGATAAATTTCCTCAGAAATACTCTATCAGGAACTATGCACTGGTGATAGATAGAGAGAGGCAAAGCCAGGTGCGGTTGGAGTGGTGCCAGAGTGGATGCTCCACCCCTTTCTCCCTCTCTTCCTCCTCACCCAGCAGTTTGCCAAGGGATGGATAGGTTATCCGTGCCACAGCCCACACTGCAGGAAGTGTTTGAAATTCAGCTAAGGGTTGCATGCCTCCTTAGGCAAATCTTGGAAAAGTTCCTTTTTTGGATTACAGCTTTAAAAGATCCAACAATACAAAAGAACAGTGAGCACCGCATAAAACTTAAACATATAGAGAGATGTGTCAACATGATGTAAAAATCTTTATTGCTTAAAATGTTCAGTGCATTTTGGCCTCTGAATATTTCAACCTGTCAGTTGCCACTAAATTGGATTGAAGATTTTTTAAATCAAAATGTTGTGCAGACTGTTTTTGTTAACTCCTTGGAAACAACCTTAAGACATTAAGAGACCAGAACCTATTGGGTATTTTAAGCAAAGGTGTAAGCACCAAGACTTTTTTCCTGCTAGCCACCTTACTTGGAAAAAAAGCTAAGCTACAGGAAAAGTTGCAAAAGCGTGCCCATGTTTTGAGTAAGAGGTGTTGACCTGTGGTTTGTATTTTCTTATGAGGGGGGGGAGTATAGCTGCAACCATAACTTTTTGCTCCTAATTTAAAGGCTTTTTGTGTAAATATTTTGTAGAACTGCATCTGATGTTGAAATAATTAAAAGACACTTGATTATTTGGCAGCACTAAGAATACAGCAATGTTGAATTCGTTGAATCTTGGGCCTTAATGGCAGGATCCAATGTATGTTTACTTTGAAGTATGTCCATTGTATTCTGTGGATGTAACCTGTGGGTGTAACTTGTGGGTGACTGTGCATAAAACCAAAACCCACATTTGACTCTTGTTGCAACTATAGATTGGCTATAGACATGTAGTGGATGCCACTCTGCAGGAGGAAGCGTGTTCTTTGGCTAGCCTCCTCATTTCTGTGACCAGCAAAAGTACTCTAACTTGTATGAAGAAAATTGGAAGAGGGAGCCTTGATCCAGAAAGTATATTTGAGATGATGGAGGTAAGCAGGGTTTGGGGAGGTTCAAACTGTGCTGTGAATGTTGAGCATGCTGATAGATTACAAAAAATGATCAATTACAAAACTGTTTTGGTTTGAAGCATTCCTTCTTAAAATATCAACAGCTTTCAAGTCATGTTACATTTATACATTCATTTGTTTATATACATTAAACCTAGTTGAATTTACCACTTAACAAGGAGTGAATAAAATTAAAAATTACATTTTATCAGCAAACTGCATGTTGCATGCTGTTACGCCCCTGAAATGGTGATGCATCCAATATGTAGGGTTCAGAGTTCTTTTCTTAGATGGAAGGCATGCTTTTGCTAGGTATGGGTTCAGGCAAGATATCAGGAATACAGACAGCATGACTTTATTAGTTTTCTTTAATGTTTTTATATTCTTTGATGTTTTGACACAAAGGTGGGATTTCCACTGTTTTTCTCAGTGTCAACTGGGCAAACAATATAATCTAGCAAATCCATATTTTTAAAAAAAACTTCCAAAAGAAAAAAGATTTGGAAGAGTATAGCAAATTATGCTATGGGCTGAATTTTATTTTTTGGTAAGTATTACTCATTTGTATTGTCTAAATCTGTATCTTGTTTTTTATGGTCTTGACTTACCTTCTATAACTTTATGCCTACAGCTTATACCCACTCCCTCTTTAAAATGTTCCAGTTATATGGAAGGGACAATCTTTATTCCAATACATGTGGTATCGTTGTTACATCCATCAGCTCTGCAGCAGAAACTTTTATGTATTGATTATCTCTGTGGATATCCAGACAGTCAAAATATTCTTAGACATAAATGTTTTGTCCACAGTTGGAAGCTGAAGTATTTCTGATAATTTTTATTTCCCCTTCTCTTTAGCTCTCAGCAAGGGAAATGTTTTGTCAGCTAGTCCCTTTTTCTATCTTCTTACTTGGTAAGACTATCTGGCCATTTTATTTTGCAGTAGTGCTGGTGAATCAGGATTTGAGCTTAGAGTATTTTAAGCACAAACTAAATATAAGCCCAGAAAGCAGTTGTGTGCATGGTTTTCACTTTATGCTGCAGAGGAACACAAGCTGATGTGTAATATTTTACTTTCCCGTTCCTTAAAAAAAATTCAAATTGGAAGCCAGATTTTTTTTCTTCTATAATCGGTTCATTTTTACGAAAAACATTTTCTGTGTTGAGTCTGTCTTCTCCTAATTTATGTTGCATTTCTTTTGTTATTGTTTGTATTCCAGACAGGAAAGAGGGTGGGCAAGTTATTGCATAGCTCCTTGCAAACAATTTTAGAAAAAGAAGAAAGTCTTGGAACAACACGAAAAAAAGTTGGATTCCTCGGATGAATGCTGCCATTACATCAGTAAAGTTGGAAAAAAATCACCAAGGGGTGGGTCTATTTAGTTGTTAGAGGCGTTTTGTATATATAAAGATGAATGTATATTCTTAAATAAAGATGCACCTTTTATCTTTCTTTTGTCATTGCAACTCTAATTAAGTCCCTAAAGAACAGTGGCAAAGCAAAAGATATGAACAACACTTCTACAAAAAGATAAAATAATTCAGTGATTCTACTCATACTATCAGCAGGATAAACTGCTTTTACCTGTGGAAATGTTTTAAGGAACTGTGCACAGAGCTAAAAAAAATGCTGCAGGGATTTAACTGTCTCTTCCATGCTATTAAGGACGATGCTGGTCACTTTGTTGGCAAGGAACACCATCTGATGCCAAAGTACAGAGACATGTTGCTCCAGACAGGGAACTGCCTCCACACCCAACCGGAACTGCCGTCTGACCAAGAGCAGCTTTTCCAGGGCAGCTGTAGCCATTTGCAGTAGTGGAAATTTCCATGTTTTGCTGCGCAGTTATTGCCACGTTTTATTTTGTCATGTATCCAGTAGAGCATTAAAAGAAAACATCTGTGGAACATTTGTCCCAGAAACATCTTAATTGTTTTTACTCTGACTGTAACATCAGAAAGTCTGATGGAATAAACCAGGCACTTCAAGACTTTGGGTAAAAATAAGGAATAATATATATAGTAGTCAAAAAGATTATTATATATCAATGTTAAAAGTGTAATTCTGAACCAAATAGCAGGAGTTATAATATAGATCAAGAGCACAGTAAAATTTCATAACTTATGTGAGTTCATATTTACTCATGAGCAGAAGGAGGCTGTTTGTTCTGTGAAAATCTTAACAGTTGAAAAGATGTTGCACTTTCAAAGTTGTAAATCAGTGAGTTCTAAATTGTCCCATATCTCAAGGTTTTTCAGTCCTGTGGAACTCTAATCAATATAAAGCCACTAACGAAGAGGGTATCATGTAAATCAGCCCTTCATTTTTTCACTTCTGTGTGATGGGCATTGTGGGGAGGTCACAATTAGGGGTTGGTGTTTTGTATTTTAAGGAAAGGAAATCATGAAAAAAGATCTCATTTTCATGGTCTTTCACTGATTCCCAAAAGAGCTTTTAAAACTCAAATGCTTCATGTTAATGAGTGAGAGGGACATGAATGTTTGGGGAGGGGGGCTGTGTTTCCCTTCTTTCCTTTACACTTCCTTTTACGTCTTGTCTGTCAAAATTGCCCAGGAACATTTTCCTCAATATTGTTGTAAGGGCTGCTATCAGCAGCTAATCAGCGTTTAGAGGAGCAAATGTAGAAGGGCCTGCTTCGGTGGGAAAGGAACCTGCAGTGGGTGTGCTGCAGCATAACGTTTCCTCAGAGAAGTATCAGTGGGCAAAATGGGCTGATAAACCATCCACGCTTATTTTGGAATAAATGTCACCGAGCACTGTGAAAAGGTCCACACTGAGATAAAAGTAAGACTTGCATCCTTTAAAGTGACCCTTTGTTTTCGGTGGGGCAATTGTAATTCAAGACATTTCAGCCCAAGAATATCTTCGAAGTTTCAGAACTTAAACATGGCTCACATTCCTTCAAAACAAGAAATCACAACTGGTGTATCCATGGTACACTTACTCCACTGCCACCCCGAGATACCAACTTTCTTCATTTGAGCAATATGATTTAAGGTACTGGGGGAGGGGGATAACAGGAAGGGAATCATTCAGTTGCTAGCATTTTTATTGAACAGTTGTAGTTGGGAATTCTTACTGAAGTGGACCACATCATTCAGCAGTCTACCAGTAGATTCATATCTACCTTCTGCCCACTTGTCTTAATGGATGGATTAATGTAGGTTTGCAAATAACCACTCATACAACCTGCTTATGAAGAGTACAAATTGCATCCAGACAACTAACTTTTCTAAAGTGGGGGGGAAAGGATTGTTCATTCATTTATACAACTGAGAATAATATGTGTGACTAAGAGGCAGCCTAGTTTAATCTTTTGTGGTCTCATAATTGGAAGGCTCATTTGAACAACATCAATACAAGACAAAAGCTTTGTTCACATGGCATACTTTTCTAAAGTTCAATCTCTCAATGCCTTGTATGCTAATTGTAATATGTTTCATTATTTGTTTCCTTATTTAAAATGTATGGGTATTGTTTGTTTGTTTGTTTACCACCTATCTAGCCAGAAGCCAATGTTAATCCTAACCCTGTGTGCTAGATTTCATTTTCTGTTTTGAATATCTCCACTGGAGGAAGAAAGGAGTGCGATAATTTTAGTGTTAAGTACCCTGTTTCCCCAAAAATAAGACCTAACCTGAAAATAAGCCCTGATATGATTTTTCAAGATACTCGTAATATAAGACCTACCGCAAAAATAAGCCCCGCTTAAGTGAAGCCCTGCCCTCCACCACTGTGCAGCAAACAGAAGATGACATGACTGTATTTGAATTAATGTAGATTGTTGTATATGAAAAAAAAAATCCTCTGAAAATAAACCCTAATGCGTTTTTGGAGCAAAAAAATAAGACCCTGTCTTATTTTCAGGGAAACAAGGAAGCTAATTACAGTGGTGCATCGACTTACAAACTTAATCTGTTCCAGAAGATGGTCGTAACTCGAAATGGTTGTAAGTCGAAGCACCATTTCCCATAGGAATGCATTGAAGTGCGATTAATCCATTCTGGCTGGAAACAAAAATCACCAAAAAAACCAAAACACTGCAAGACCCATCGGAAACACAATCCATTCTGGCCAAAGGGGAAAAAACCCAAAAAGCAAACAAACTGTAAGATCCATTGGAAATGCAAAAAAAGAAAAAGAGAGAAAACCAAAAAGGAAACAAACCCCATAAGACCCATCAGAAATGCCAAACACACACAAAAAACAAAAAACAAAACCCAACAAAAAGCAAACAAACCCTGCAAGATCCATCAGAAATGGGGGAAAAAAAACCCAACAAGCAAATAGACCCTACAAGACCCATCGGAAATGGGGGAAAAAACCCTAAAAGCAAACAAACCCTGAAAGACGCATCGCAAATGCAAAAAAAGAACACCAAAAATCAAACAAACCCTGCAAAACCCATCAGAAATGCAAAACACCCCCCCAAAAAAACCCAAAAAGCAAATCCTGCAAGACCCATTGGAAATTTAAAAAAATCCAAAAGCAAACAAACCCTACAAGACCCATCAGAAATGGGGGGGGGAAGCAAACTCTGCAAGACCCATCAGAAATGGGAAAAACCGAACAGCAAACAAACCCTGCAAGACCCATCAGAAACGCAACCCCCCAAAAGAAACAAAAACTGCAAGACCCAAGAGAGGTTAGATATATCTATCCCCTCTTCTAGTCCTACCCCCAACCAGATGGTGTCCATATCAGCAAACCCTCAAGCCAGATGGTGCTGTTGATGAACACCAGGTAAGTACAAAATAAGACTGCCCTCATCCATGAGGTAATTCTGGATGAGGGTGCTGACCTGGCGTGCATTACTGAGACCTGGGTGGGAAAGGAGGGTGGTTTTCCCCTCTCCCAGCTGTGTCCTCCTGGGTACTCGGTCCAGCACCAAAGTCGCTCAGAGGGTCGCGGGGAGGGGGAGTTGCTATAGTCTATAGGAGTTCTGTTTCCTTCACCAGGCTTCCTATCCCTTTGAGATGAGGTCCTGAAGGCCTGTATTGTGTGTTGGGCTTACGAGACAGCTTGGGGATTCTGTTGGAGTACCATCCACCCTGCTGCATGCCAACAGTCTCTCTGCATGAAGTGACGGAGGTAGTCTCGGAACTGGTGTTGAGGACTCCCAGGCTGTTGGTGCTGGGGGACCTCAACATCCATGCCAAGGCTGCCTTGACTGGCGTGGCTCAGGACTTCATGGCCACCATGACAACCATGGGGCTGTCTCAATGTGTCCTCAGCCCGAGGCATAAGGGCCATACCTTGGACCTGGTTTTCTCAATGTGACTGGAAGATGGTGGTTTGGATGTGGAGGAGCTAGTTGTGACCCCATTGTCATAGACTACTTCCTGGTCAAGTTTAGCCTATTAGCTTCTTCCCTCTGCAAGGGTGGGGGATCTGTTAAGATGATCCACCCTCGGAGACTAATGGATCCAGATGGTTTCCTGAATGCTCTGGGGGATTATCCGTCTGATATGGTCGGAGCTCCTGTCAAAGCTCAGGTTGCCCAATGGAATAAGGAGATGACCCAGGCGGTTGACATGATTGCACCTAAGCGCCCTCTCCCTGCACACAGAGCCCAGACAGTTCCTTGGTATATTTCTGAACTGCAGGTGATGAAGTGGGGGGAGACGGCTGGAGCGCAGGTGGCGGAAATCCCGCTGGAAGTCTGATCGAACACAGAGCCCATTATCGGGCCTATTTCATGGTGAAACGGCACTTATTTCTCCAGCCGTCTTGCTTCCTCAGAATGTCGTCCAGCAGAGCTGTTTCTGGTGGTCCAGGATCGTCTTCAACCAGGAAATCACGTGGAGGTCCCGGACTGATCATCAGCTCACTGTGATGAGTTTGCCATTCATTCTGAGGGCAAAATTACTCAGATTCACAGTAGGTTGGACACCGTTACTGCCGAATCAGAGGATGTGTCCAGTGTGCTGTGCTTAGGTCAAGGATTAATAGATGAGTTTCAATTGTTGAGACCAGAGGATGTGGACAGGGTGCTTACATCTGTCCATTCTACCACCACTCTGTTCGACCCTTGCCCATCTTGGCTAATTGGAAGATCTGCCAGGGGGGTTCACACCTGGGTCCAGGAGGCCGTAAACGCCTCTTTGAGAGAGGGAGTGTTCCCTACCACCTTGAAAGAGGCAGTAATTCAGCCACTCCTAGAAAAGCCTAACCTGGACCCAAGGCTGATGGTTAGCTACTGAACAGTGGTGAACCTCCCATACTTGGGCAAAGTGTTGGAGTGGGTTGTGGCTGGTCAACTCCAGGCGCTGCTGGATGAAACGGATTTTCTGGATCCATTTCAATCGGGTTTCAGGCTGGGTTTTGGTACAGAGACTGCCATGGTCGCTTTGTATGATGACCTTTGCCAGGAGAGAGACAGGGGGAGTGTGACACTGTTGATACTCCTGGATCTCTCAGTGGCTTTCAGCACCATCGACCATGGTGTCCTTTTGGATAGGCTGGCTGGGTTGGGAGTTGGGGGCACCGCTTTATGGTGGTTCCACTCCTTCCAAGCTGACCATGTCCAGAGGATGGTGCTGGGGGACAGTTGCTCTGTCCCATGGCGTTTGTGTCATGGAGTGCGTCAGGGCTCGATACTGTCCCCCATGCTGTTTAACATCTGCATGAAACTGCTGGGAGAGGTCATCAGGAGGTTTGGGCTGAGGAGTCAGCGATATGCTGACAACACTCAGCTCTACCTCTTGTTCTCCACCATTCCAGGTAAGGTGGTTTCTGTGCTGAACTTGTGTCTGAACCTGATAATGGGACTGGATGAGGGTTAATAAATTGAAACTCAATCCAGAGAAGATGGAAATGCTCTTAGTGGGTGCTTCACCGGACAGGCTGAAGGGCCATTTCCCTGCCCTGAATAGGGTTACACTCCCCCTAAGAGACAGGGTCTGCAGCTTGGGGGTGCTCCTGGACCCCAGTCTAACACTGGAAGCCCAGGTGGACT